ACGCATGCACACACCAACGGCAGCAGCAGTTTTTGACCCACAGCCACCCCTCGACGTATATATTGCACAGGATCGGGACGATCGAGCCCCCAAAACGTGACTCTGTGGGAGGGCTGCTCTATATAAACGTAATTTTATAGTAAGTTGGGATTGCTGTTTTGAGACCGAGGTGGCGACGATCCCTTTCCGCAGTTCTCGTCCTCAACCTTCTCCTCCTTCTCATCCCTGTCAAAGATTGGTTGGTCTTTCTCTTGCCACGCGTCAGTCGCATCACGCACTCGTTCTCCGGGAAGGTTTTATTTTTTTTATTATATCGACCAATCTTACTCAATTGCCGCCTACAGCTATAATATAGCTCTGGGACGTATATTCACACGTACGAATAGAAATTGAATTTATTTCATGAGGTATATCAAGGTTAAGAAGAATTACACAGATGTGCAACAATAAACATGCAGAACTAAACGAGATAAACGACATCGACTTATAAATTATTATCTTTTTAAAAGGCAATAATAATCTTAATACGCATATAGATTGGGGTGAGATGACATAATATGATAGCCAATCGCCAATAGGTTAGGTGTACACATTATGTTAAATATAAAACATGTTACTTTCTAAAATATTATTAAAATACCTCAGATTATTGGATAATTTGCTAAAACAAATTTTGAATAGTTAAATATTTTTTTTAATATGAATTTTCCTCTATAAACATTAAATATTTTGATAAATAGTTTTGAAAATGTATAGCCATATAAGTATTATGTATTATAACACATTTTTAAGACGGACGACCTAAAAATGAAATCGGACCATGGTCACTTGAGGAAACGCGTTCACGATGTATTGGTTTTACAGAAATAGTTTCTTTATGATGGAAAATCAATGAGGCGGAGTATAATTTCTCTCCATATCTTGTTTATGCTCTATATTCTTGGACAAGTTTGACATAATCTGTTTGGGTTAAGCTTCCAAAATCGCTAGAATGTAGAGAGGTTAGGGGTTAAGATGTTGATATGTAATGTAAGTGATGATATATATAGTATATATTTACATACCAAACAGATTTAATACCTGTTATTTTGCTTTGAGAGTTAAGTCCAGAACTGAATAATAAGCTTTTCGGTTTAAGTATAAGAGAAACTATTCTCAGAAAGATTCTCTTTCGAATTACGATGGCTTCACTTAAGTTACCTACTGTAAGAATATTATTAATTACAACTTAACAAAGTTAATTTTGTTTATTCTTTAAGAAGATAAAGAGGGCCCATTACTGAAAAAGCACATGATGAATAAATTTATGAGTCACAGCCAAGTAAATATAATAGGTACCTACATGAAATATAAAATTATATAGGAGCTATAATACCCCGCCATTGTAAATAGTAAATAAATATTACGTGTATACTAAGCTATGTTAATTTTAATATTATTATAATATATACCTATTCATGCGGATATATAAAGATAATCTGATGATGATTAGTTTTAGTAGACGTTTTTATAAATTTAAATTCAAATACTAAAATAAAAATGACTATACCTATATAACATTAAATACATACTTTATTATAGTTTTAATTCCATAAAGTATTATAATATGAAATATACATTTTAATTCTTCGTAATGTGTTATCATTACTTATAATTAAGTATTTTTATTTTGTTTAAAAAAAAAAAAATAATGATAGGTAGGTATCTATATTTTATATTATATAGCCGTAGTTATTTCGCGATATATCAAAATAATTGTAAGGAAAAATAAATAATAATAATACATTATCATAATTCAGTCATATTCACTATAGGTACTGTACGTCCAGTCTTATATGTAACACTAAATATTATGTTTCAATGACTTTGGATTGAAATATGGTGTTCTATGATGCCTAGAGAGTACCAATGTACACATTTTGGGAAAATTTCACATTCAAATCGAATCCATAAAAAGCCATTCAATACGTGTTAAAATCGAAAAAATAGGATTGTCAATTTTCAAATAGCTCAAACTCAGAAAATTTTAGAATCATTGTCGATGGATCAAAAAAAAATATTCACATATATTTACATCTGGTGACAAACATAATAGTTGCTGATAAAAAAAATAAAACATAATTATATATTGCACGTGCGAGTACTGTATCTAATAGGTAAAAACGTGAAATTATCTAAAAATGTATATTTCCGATTTTTGTATCCTAGCATTCATAGCAAACCATACTTTAATCTAAGATTATCTAAGCTAGGTTATCGGGCTGTTTTATTGTGTTTAGTAGTAGGTACATAATATGAGACATACTGAGTTATACATTAAATAATACATTATATAATAAAAGCCAAGGGTTTGTTGACAGCATGTTTAATTAAAGCTCAAACAAAAATATTTTTCAGAAAAAGTTCGTTAATATTCATTACCTTATTCCATTAAAAACCAACAAGGTTCTTTTAGGATGGATAGCGATTGACATTTTAATTATTATTAATTAAGTCTAGTCATACGCATGACTATTTAGTCCATTTAAATTAAATATAATATTTTCCTTAATTTGAAAATTTAAATCAATAAGCTTTGATATAAACGATGAAACGTGGAATTAATTTAAATTAAAAATATGTATCATAAATATAATATTTTATGTTATTCGTTTACCTTTGATCGCACTGCTGCAGAAGAAAATTATATGTTAAATACATATTACATTTTTTATACTACGCTGGGTATAGTGGGTAGATTCATTATTAAATTTATATTTTAATTTACGAGTTGATGGGAAGGTAGAAATGAAAAAAAAACATACTTAAATATTTATAAATCTATATATCAGTTAATCGCTTCATGACATTATTACATGGTCGTTATGAAACCAAATGTACGTATAGGTAGTAGGTACACTAGGAAAACTTCAAAAGACTTTAATAGTTCTACAGATTTTCTTATATATGTAGGAAAAACTAGCAGGTTGTACCAATCTACAGTGTACTTTTTTGGTTATCATTGAATACCTACACAGGTGTGTCACAATCCAGGGAGCATTTAAACCAAAATATCAAAGAAAAGAGAAAATTAATACAAGAAGCTTTGGTGGGTTTATTCAGAACGAATAAACGAATAAATTACATAAATATACAAGTGCGTATACATACAAGCGACGACAACAACAACGATGACGACGAAGACGAACGAACGAATTAGATACTTGAGTTTACATATTATTATTATTATTATTATTATTTGTCGACTAACTATGTATACCTGCATCAAGATTGGCTGGAAATAAAATATAAACTGTACACGACGAAACAACCTTTGCTTATGAAAATTTAATTTAGTTATGTATACTTTAGATGCAGTGTTGTAGTTACTGCGGGTAGGGGAGGAGGTGGTTAAATATAAGTATATAATATTTTGAAATATATTTTAGGAGTTGCAAATTAGACCCGAATTGACCCCTCCTCCTCCCTGCCAGTATACGATAAAATTGGGTGAGTAAGCCTCCGACAGGATTCCGGGAAACTTGGTACGTTTCGTTATTAATTTTGATCATAGGAAAAGCGCAGCGTTCGGAATGCTCAAATGGTACCTATACGGCTATACATAATATAATATGGGTATAATTCATATATCATATTATATACATAACAACTCCTCGCATACGGGGAAAGTTGTTTAGTTAACGATATTAATTGTTTACAATTTTATATTATTTACCTAAGGGATATCGACGAAGGGCGTGACGACCAACAGTGTACTCCTGCAGTGTAGATATATCGAGTTATAACAACAAGAGGTATGATGATAGTAATAATAATAATAATTATACCAATAAAGTTATTATACGAATTTACATTATTTAGGTGTCAAAGGTAGTTATTAATCGGGTAATTTGTACCACGAAATAATATTATTATTTATCTGGAGATCGACCAAAAGAGTGATAATATATACATTGAATATTTTATGCACTTAGGGCACGACCATATTTGGTTGCAGATGCACATTTTTGTAAGACTGATGTGGAAATAGTGACAGTGACATCGATAGCGTATTTATAGCGTATTTGGCTGCTCTGAGGTACAAATACTTAAATTAAAAAGTTAAATACCTAAGTTTTATGATATAACGTGAAATTCTAGTACTTATTGCATTAACCAAATTTTTTTCTTCCTAAATGTTTATCATGTCACTTTATCCATCTATCAACTTTGATTATTAAATCACAACTTCTACAATTCTAATTTTTAAATTCATAGTCTGAAGCAGGGGACTTTTCAAAAGATGTTGAAGTATAAAATATGTCGAGTATTTAACTTACAGACAATTCAAGCAATTAAATTTTTCGTAAGTTAAAGTCTTCGTTTAAGTCTGTGCAATGTATATTTTCCTTCATGCTCAAGGGCCCTTAACTTTTATAGACGATCTGAGCCGATGGGTACTCAACAAATCTAGAATATTACCACTACATTTTTATTAAATAGAAAAATTTACAACGCGTACACACAATAATCAAATAGTAAGACGTGATAGTGGAGTGAGTAAAGAAGATCAAGGATCTTTTAAGACGATTCAAGAGGATTTGATTTACTGAGCATATTTTTTTGGAATTTCGTATAGAAATGAGAGTGAGTTACATACTATTATACCTAGTGTTTGAATGTCGAGGTCGTGATGTAATTCGAGGCTGCTAACATACCAATAAGGAGCGTTTACAATAGATCGAGGATTTATTGGTTGAAAAGATTAATTTTAAATTTTAGTGTTTTTTTTCGTAGATAAGTGACTTTGGGCTGACGGAGCACTAATTTAAATTTTTCTATATCAGCTTCTGAAAGCACTGATTGAGTACCATAACGTTTAGCGCATTTGGTAGTATAGCGAGAACTAGTTATTTTAACATTATAGCTTCACTGACTCTCTCTAAATTCTATCCTATATACGTTATAAATTATAATAGATATCCGAGTACAATAGATATTATAATTTCATCGTAACTCACCAGTGTTCCTGTAAATGGCATTCACCCTCTGCACGTGTCTAGTCATGACTTCGATGCACGTCTCTTCCCTGCCGTACTTCTCGTAGAACAGGTGGTCGGCCTGGAGGTACAGCATGCACGTGGTCTTCCGGTTGTCGACGAACCCACCCAGCCCCTTCTTGCGGTTCTCGAACGGATCGTAAGTGCCGCTGTCATCCACCACCAGGTTGCTGCTGGCCTCGTCGCCGGCCACGGCCACCAGTATCTTGCGCTGGTCGTTCGGGTCGTACCAGTTGGGCTTCGGCACGGACGTCTTGCTGGTGGCCGACTGCCTACTCCGGTTCACGATGGTGCCGTTTGGCGACCGTACCAGTATCACGCCCTCTGTGTCATACGTCTGGTTCACCAGCCTTTCGGCGTCGGCGTGGCCCTTGTCGGCCGACCGGCGTTCGCGCAGCGCCTCCGACCTGCAACCGCCACCAGCCGACTTCGGACCGGCCACGTCCGACAAACGGTACACGACGCTGTGGTACGGTAGCACCGACCCATCGCCATACCGCGACGAAGGTTCCACAAAGTATTCCTCGGCGGCAGTGCTGATGGTGCCGTCGAACAGCCCGTCGGATGTCACGATGCCACGCACGGTCACTGTCTCCTCGTCTGCAAAAACCGAAAATCGAAACAATGAATGATCTATTGTCGTCGAATTATTATAAATTATTATAGTACAGGTAAGTATTGGATTTAATACGACGCCCGCCGCCCATCCCACGTTTTCTTGTTGGTTATAGAAAGGAGAAAAATTGTAATCGGTTATTTAAAAAAATAAATCGAAGTTTGCAGTTCTTCATATAGTTAGTCAAAACACAAGTGCTTCCTCGTCGTAAATAATAGTGTTTTCGACGTTCGGGTACGACATAATATATTGAAGAGAGCGTGGTTTTTTCGTATTTTTTTTTTTTTTTTGTTGTTATCCACCGTGTTCAACATCGATCTGTAATTAGGGTCCAACGAAAAAAAAAATCGGAAATACGGTAAGGTTTATGCGAGAGGTTGGAGAATGTGTGTAACCACGTGTCGTATACAGACTAGGTAATTTCTAACACGCGGATATTAGTGTTTATGAAACAAACACAACTCCTTAATGGCATGTCGCATGTGCGAAACGTTCTGTACCGCTAAGCGCTAACATGCATTTAAGCCACTATAAACGCTATAATTATAAGTTGTCATTGATTATACATGTAACCTAATTGAGAAGATTCAAAACAAGATATAACGCTTGACGTGTATAACGGTACCTACCTATGTTCAAACCACAGACCACAGTATTATATAATATAATTACTGGATTCTACGTTTTTGGTGTGACAATGATTTTATACATGAAGAAATTTACTTGGTTTACTTAGATTTAAGTTGTTTTAAACAGTAACGTTAATTTTATCCATTTTCTATTTTTAATTTGCATATAACGTATAAATTAAATTACTCACTAATATCCTCTAGTAGGTGTTTAAAAAAATATAAAAATATATTTTCAACATTCTATTAATTGTAACCCAAAAGTGTTATAATGTATTTCAAAAATAGTTTTTGGAAATGTCCAATTTTGATATTAAGTCCTGATCGCATAAACAATCATTAAACATTTAAAGAATCAATATTGATCTAATTCCCCTTAAACATGTTTTTATGACTCATAATATGATAGTGACACTAATTTTAGTGAACCATTAAATTAAAACGTTCTGTATGCAAGTAGATATCTACGCATAAGAGATATTTTTAAATTATAAGTGTACTATAATTTATAATAACAGTGCTAAAAAAAAAGAAAATATGCACGAAAAAATAATAAAATATGTATGAAAAAATGTAATATACATAAAAATTATTCAAAATTTCAAACAAAATAATTCAATGTTGTTATTAATATGCACAAAAACAAATGTAATATTAATATGCAAAAATACATTTATGGTTATGGCTCAAAACTGGTAAACATTTTTAAATTTTATAGACTGAAAAAATAGTTCAAAAAAATTGAATTTCATATATGGGAAATTAAATGTATACGAGATGAATACATGTTTGATAACATCTGCATTGAAACACCAATATTTCTTATAAGATTTTCGAAATAAAGAAATTAATACTAGACATCAACGATAACAATAAATGCCTAGGTACGTTTAATAATAATGAGTGAAAAAAAATAAAAAAAATATTGCAGTCTTTTTATTTATTTGTTAATTTTTTTATTATTATTTTCATGAATATTTGTTGTTTGTTTAGCTTATGAGATAGAGTTGGGCCTTTTAAAGAGAGGAAATATTTTAATAATTTTGATAGTGTACATTTTCAATTTACTATATTATACAAAGATAAATATTTACAATTAAATTTTGAACTTCTATTTGTTTAAAACCATAAATAAATGAAAATGATTTATATTTATAAAGTAAAAATAATATTAAAAAATATAAGAATGAAATACGCAAAATAATTAAAATAATAAAATGTATGTACAGTTTATTTTGTTAGTTTTTATTTATTAGTGCATGTTTGAAGATCGATCACGTTTATTCACGTCACAAAAATAAAAATAAAACTAAAACTCAAGTCAAATTATTAAATAAAATAAGGAAAATTAATTTTAAATATTCATGAACGAAATTTCGATTAAAACTGTTATAATAGATACATTGTATGTATTGTTTCTTTTTCAATATTACAATAAAAAAATCAATTTTTTGTAAAATGACACATTATATAGTCAGGAAATCAATCTTTGTAAGTAAATGGTAATTATGACGATAACCATAAAAAAATCAAATTTTAATAAATTTAGGTAACTCTTCTGACTTAAAACTCAGTTGACCGGCACCTTTCAAAAATTGCAGGGGCAGCCCAGGCACCCTAGCTGCCTAGACACGCCTATGCTCTTAACACCTATTAAAGGTACCCCGTTGTACATAAGAATAATGCTGCCTTGTAGTTTACAACAATCTAAAATAACCAATAACCGTCAACCAACAATTTTGAGAAAAATTATTATAAAAGATCCCACTAAAAATTAACAAACCACACCAACCATATTATTATATTATTAACAATAAAAATTCATCCTTCACATTATGAGAAAATATAATATACTGATTATTAAAAAGAAATTGGCTAAATAACTAGTATAATAAAAGTTCTAGTAACTAAAGCAGGGGCGTGCGTTGAGAGCTAACCTTGATGGGGAGGTGGGCGATGGCAAAGAAGGCCAATCATCCCCCCTAAAAAAAAAAATATTTAGGCACATGATAAAAACACAAAACACAATTTTATCAACAAAATAAAATCTATATTTATTTTTTGTATGCTTGAAAATTGGCAATTACATAGGTACCACCAAATAATACTAGACACTTATTGACACTTTTATCAGTTGAAACAATACACATCGCCGTTTGTAAATAGATAGCGTACAAGGAGCGTTTGACCGGATTTCACAGCTTGCATTATAGTATCTATCAATGGTGCGATATAAGATTTGTACAATCTGCCCAGACTCCGCTGACCAATCAGTAATCAATTATTTCTTATGCCATTCAGAGCAGTAAACACAATGAGTTAGAAAAATATTTACCAATGAAAAAAAAAATTATTATATTTTTTTTATTAATTAAATGTAGAAACTTAAAAACAACATAATATATGATTTGTATAAAAAAATCTCCTATCGCCATACATCAAATAAGCCACTGACCAGTGACCATTGACCAAGGTTAACACAAGTAATTCTGAGGATCAGATACTGAATGTTCCACTTCACGTGTTTCATGTTACTCTATTGTATAAAAAGTTTTTACTCATCTACGTTACTTATTGTTTATGTTTAACAGAATGTAATAAAATATTTTGAACAAACTGAAAAATAATACAATACGTAACTACCTCATATTCGTACCCAACAAAGAAGTGGATATTTAAATCTTTGTCACACAATACGCACTTACACTAACCCTGATGTACACGCGTGGACTAAAATTTAGAACTATTATTATTATACCAAAAGGACAAACTATATACAGTGTGATCACGATTTTAGCTACCACTGAATATCTCAGATGGGTGACCTTGTATTGAAATGGGGTTTTTGGGAGGTGATAAGGAGCACTTAAATACATATTTTCAGACCAGTTTCAAATTGTTAGCTCACTCGGTACACCATGACTGCCAGAAGAAAAATGCCGCCCGTGGCCGAGTTCGAACCGACGACGGTACGCGTCGCAACTGACGCCTTCGTCCGCTCGGCCACTCCACCCCCCCCCCCATTAAACATTTATTTGGCACTTATTTTATTATTTCAAGTGGTTATAAATGCAATGTGCATTAAACACGTATTATGCATAAATCCAAATTTTGACTTATTCTAACATGGTCAGCTTTGTAAATAGACTTTAAATACAAAAAAAGTTTAAAAAAAAATACTCTACCCGAATCTGGAGAAAAAAATTGTGGTCACCATTTAAAAAAAAGTAAGTTTTATTGCGCATGCGCATACCGAGTGAGCTAACAATTTGAAACTGGTCTGAAAATATGTATTTAAGTGCTCCTTATCACCTCCCAAAAACCCCATTTCAATACAAGGTCACCCATCTGAGATATTCAGTGGTAGCTAAAATCGTGATCACACTTTATACCTACATGTGATATACTGGCATGTCTATTGAATGTGAATAGTCTAGTTATGCAAGTGTATTTGAGTGTTTAATATATATCAAAGAAATTCTAAAAATCTTTTATTTATCGACAGTCGAAATTCAAAAACTAAATAATATTTATTTTTAATTTTTTAATTCTAAACCCAATATCATGACGGGTTCGCTGAAGAAAACACTCAATCTGTTTTTAATAATGTTGTCTTCGTTGAGTATAAAAATCGAATAGACTTTTTCAAGTAACCCAATTTATTTTTGCGCATCATAAGCTCTTGCCAACGTAATCAGGTTATTGTTTGGTTCGCTTTTTATCCAATCGATGCTGAATTTTATTTTATGCAAGAACAGACATTTGAATATAAAATTACTTTGTCCATAAATTATTTATTTTGTATACGGTGTGTTCCGGAAATACCAACAACCCACAAAATTAATTTTCATACGTCAATTTTGCAAGGTATTTAATTAAAAAAAGATATTTTTCATTCAATATGATTGCAAACATAATATTAAACAATAGCATCTGTATGAACCTAAGACGATTTATTGCGTTACACTTGTGTTACGTTAACTTCAATATTTCCCCCAAAGTAACAATATTTTTAATAAAAAATACTTAAAATTCCGATTTCAACATTTAATTTAAATAAATCCATGATTATAAATATTATTATTTCAATATTAACAGTGATGTTTTTGTAGACTATGTATGAATGGTTGGCTACCCTTTGAAAATGTCACTCTTCAAACTTCACACAAGCCATAACTTCCTTATTAATTATAGTGTTGTATAATTCTCATATTATAGTGTTTCACGGAAATAGGTAGTAAGAATTAATTTATACACAGTAAATTGTATCCATATAAGGCTCAAGAAGTTAAGTGAGTAAAAAATACTGAATACTATAATTTATTAACAGGAAACGGGGTTTTATATTTGTATTA